AACTTATTAAATTTTGCAAAATTGTTATCGAAACTGTTGAAAATTTTGAAACTCATCAAAGTCTATCAAAACTATTCAAAAAAGATTTATTTGATTTTACTGATAAATGTTTTACTGATACAATTATTTTGCTAATATATTTATTACGCTAATAAACATTTTACTACCAATATTATTTTATTGATAACAATCATTTCGTCAACAAAATTTTTTATAAAATTTTATATTATAAATTAGTTATTAATATAAAATAAAGTAAATAAAACTTCACATGTAAAAGATTATAATAAAATAAAATAAAATTTTCTAATTCTATGATCATATTATTTATAGTTATTTATTATACATATTTTAATAATATTACATATTAATTATATTAATTTAGTTAATATATTTACGGGCAATTAATAAATAAATAAAAATATTTTGGAATAAATAATCAAATTTATTGAAAATATAATATTTATTATGATTTTTTAACTTTCAAATATTTTTTTTAAAATGTTAACAAAATGAATATGTAAAATAATCATCAATAAAATATTAATCAATGAAATAAATATGTTAGCGAAATGATTGTTGGTAAAATAATTATTGGTAAAATGTTTTATTAGTGAAATGAATACGTCTGTCAAGAAAAATTTAACTTTTGCCAAAATAAGTTTAAGGTTTTACCCGCAATTATAGTCATAGTAAATTTGAAGTTTATTTTATTTTTTAAAATTTATTTATTTTCTTTTTATTATTATGTATTAATACTAATTATATTTTTTCACTAGGTTTTCAAATACATATAAATTTAAAAATACATTAATTAATTTTTGATTATATCTATAATTATAAGATTATAGCTAAATATAAATTTTCAGTTATATTTAACTATATTATTTAATTAAATTAATAAATTAAATAAATTAACATTTTTTTTTATTTTTACAAATATATGATTTAAAATTATAATATATATATATTCATAAGTAATATTTTATCAGTAATATTTGAAATATAGTAAATTATATGTGATTTTAATAGCAAATTACTCATATATTATAATTTATTCTATTTTTTATATTACTTAAAAAAGTTTAATTTATTAAAGTCGTATAATATAAAATGAAAAAAATCAGATCATCTAGGAAAATCTGAATAAAGCCATGTTTCTGATCTAACACATTTTATTAAATTAGGATTTTTATTATAACTTTGACTCGAATAACTTTGAAAATTTTGGTATTATAAAATTTTCATGCATTTTAAGAGTATTAATTATATTTTAAATAGTTTTTTATGATTTTATAACAAATATAAATATTTTCTTTTAGATATGTATTATGTTTTTTTTTAAAATAATTATACATTCTATTGATATAATTATATGTCAAAAATATGCTAAAGTTTCACAATTTATAATATTTATAATTGTAAGTTTAAATACTTTACAGAAAATTTATTTCCTTACTATACAGTAACTGTATAGTACCTATTAGACTGCAATTAAGCTACTATTAATTAAAATAATAATTATATATTTACTATATAGTCATATTATAGTTATTGCATATCAAAAAATCTAAGTTTCTATAAAGTAAATATATAAAATAAATTACTTGCACATTTAATTACACTAACAAATTTGTGAAATTTATTATATTTTAAGAATCTAATCCTTCATTATTATCATTATAAGAATAATTTACAATATTCTATAATAAAATATCCTGACATTTAAATAATATAATTCAGTATTTTAATTCTTACTATAATAATCCATTTTTTTGGTCTTTATAAAAGGTATTCATATGATTCTTTTGAAAGTTGGCTTACTTGGAAGAAAGGAAAATATTATAGGATTATTTATACTAATATTCTTTAATTTAAAAGACTTTTTAATTTATTACTTAATAATAATTTATCTTCTAGTTAATTTTAAATAATAAAATTTTACATCAGTCATCTAATTAGCCAAGATTTAAGTAATACTTATAAATTAAAAATTCTCTAATACTTCATGATTTTAACTTTTATACTTATAAAAAATACAATTTTATTAAAGTGTAAGAAAAACTAATCAAATTAATTAAATGAATAAATTTTAAATGGCATATCAAAAATATAAAAAAGATAACATAAATCGCACAAATCTGCTAAAGGCTTAGAATAATTAAAAGATATAATCTAATTTTTTTTATTATTATTTTTTATTTAAAATTTTATTAAATGCATTATAATAAAACAAATGATTTTACATTATTGTACCTATTTCATATCAAAAAAATCAAAAAAGAAATATTGCAAAATTGTAAATATATAACTACATAGAATACAAATTATAATATTAGAAAATGTATTCTTAAATATAATTATAAATAATATTAATGATGTATTAGTATTGTTCTTTATAAAATAAACTCAGAAACAAATTATTATATTTTTTTTCATAATAACTATAGCATCACATTTATCTTAAATAAAATAAAAGTTTCCAGATACCTGCCTTATAAAAAAATTTTCTATGATTTAAAATTCCATTTTATTTTTATAAATATATTATATTTCTAGTACTTATAATTTAAAAGTATAAAAATTATCCTAAATTACTTAGATTTTTAATTATTTTTTTGTAAATGTATCAGATTAATAAGAAATTACAGATAAAATTTTTTTAAAAGGCTATTATAATTCATTATATTATTTTTTTATGAAGTTGAGACATTTGTTTATTTTTTTTTTCTCAAATTTAATTTATATATTTATTTTCAAAATAACTATGAAATGATTAAAAATAAAAATAAATAAAATTAAAACTTGTATATTCTTTTCAAATAAAAAGAGAAACCTTAAGAAAAGTAAAAAAATGATTGCTATAATCAAAACTAAAAATAAAATATAATATGTACTTTTGAAAAATCAAAACTAAAATTTTTACCCAATTCTGAGCTGCATCTTAATATCAAAATATTCTAAAAATTAGTTTTATTTAAACAAAACTATTTATTTTCTATTTTAAACAGATTTTTCAATTTTATGTATAACTTAAATTCAGGTAAGTATTTTTTCCTATATATTAATTTTGTAATACAATTTAATTAATTTAACCAATAAAAATTGTATAATATTTAAGCATACATTTATTTCAAATAATGATGCATATGTCAATATTACGTAAGTATTATTTAATCTTATTTTATAAAATAATTGATACTATAAATAATATAAATGTGTGAAAATTTTATCATTATTTTAGGATGTTCAAAGTAAAAGTTAATATAAAACTTAAAATCAAATTGAAACTATAGTTAGACTAAAAAATTTTTTTTTGGATAATATTTTAAGATCCCTATTTTCTAAAGAATATAAAGCTTTTCATATTTTTAATATAATTTATAACTATTACAAATTGCTGAATAATATCCTTTTGATTGTTTAAGACCCTTTAATATAATTCTAAATATCTGAAAATAGTAAAGATATTATTGATATTATAATATTATAACTATTAAAGAAGTTAAAAATAAACTAATATGTATATAAACTAAAAAGCTAAATTAAAAAAAAGTTTAAGAAAGCTAAGAGAAATTAAAGAAAACTAAAAAAAAACTAAAAAAAGGTTTTAAAATAAGCAAAATAATTTTATGAAATAATTTAAAAATAAATTTATGAAATGATTTAAAATAAATAATATGAAAAATTTGTAATAAAAAAAGATAAAACAGCTAGAAAAAATAAAAAATAAGTTAATGTTAAATTTAAATATATTTTGACCTAAAAATCATATTTGGCATATAAAAATAAAATTGAATTTTTCTAGCAGTTTCCCTCCTTTCTATTGCAAAGGTCCTATATATTATAAAATTAAATTTATATTTACTTTTAAAAATTTTACTTAAAAACTTAAGCATATTTTTTCTTTAAAGAAATTAATAAGTATTTGTATAATACTATAATTATTTCATAATATTGCAAAATAATTATAATATTATAAATTTGTATTATAATTATATTTATAAATTTCATAATATTACAAATTTTAAAAAATAGTAACAGTTTCATCTTTAGCTAAAATATAAACTTCTTTTTTGAGTTTTAGTTAAAGTAGTTCTTTTTTATTTAAATTATCATTAGTAAATTTAAATTATTTTATATTCTTTGTAATTTTCATATTTATACAATTTTAGATACAAAAAAAAACATAAAATGATAAAAAATGATATATAACCTTATATACATTTTTATAATAACTATTGTTATATTGATAATATCATTATATTAAGCTTAATTTCAGCTTTATAAAATTAATTTATTAAAATATTGTGTTATTATTATTATATACTATCAACACTTATTATAACAAATTGTCTATCTAAGTTAATCAGACCATCATTATAAGAAAATTCATTATTATTATAATAAATTATTCAATATATATAATAAATAATTTATTATAATGAAATATCACTAGTCAAATGATAACAAAACAGCATATAATCAGATACCAATAGCATATCTTATTGGATTTCGATAGGATAACAGTAATTAAATATTGTACAATATATATGAATGCCAATTTTAGTTAATTAATGGCTTCAATCAGCTTATAATATTTTACGATCAGGATGTGAGATCGGATTGTTTATTTGAACTGAAATATTTACCAATTGTAATAAATGAATAATACCAATTATAATTAAAAAGAAAAATAAAACTACATTGGGTTGTACTAGAATTTACTATTTTATTCAATCAGTAATTCTGATCGATATTGATTTCTTAATTTTATTAGTATAGAATTGTTTTTATTTGTCTTGTAGAATATACATCAGAATATATTATTTTACTATTTATAATGCTATTAATATTAATTTTTGCAACATTGTATTAAATAGAAAATAAACTATTATTATTAATTTTTAAAATGAATCATTATCGGTCACAGCCATCCATGTCTCAGTTTCCTTTGATCTATTCCTGTTAACTAATTCATGTTTTGTTCATTCTACCGATCAGTTTCTACTATTTCCAATTTTGGATTTTTTTGAAATTTGATTAATGGTTTCTTCGATTTCATGTCTTTGTTTGATGTTTCTGGTCAATGCTTTTTTGATACTGTTGGTATTCGATTTCAACACATTAATAGAGCCAGAAACAGTAAAACCAGTAGTACGAGCAGTAGAAATGGTAGTAAGAGGAGGACTTTTATTAGGATTATTAGAACCAATAGTAGGAGTAGAACCTGTATGAGGAGTATTAGAACTCGTAGTAGAAACGGCAGAACTATTAGAAGTAAGTGGTAAAATCGATGATCGTGAAAGTGTATTTGAAGAATGTTTATTATATACACTTTGTACTGCTATCATCAATAAGCCACTGTAGCCCCGAAGAGTCCACCTAGGTATTTTGAAAGGAGCCGATTGCTCTTTATCATAAAAATTATGTTCGTCATAGATTCAGGTTCACTTTTTTGGGATTTTTGAAGATTTCAAGAATATACGATCAACATAATCTCTTAAAAATGAATATAACTACAAATAATTATAGATTAATTACAATTAAAAGTTATAATAAATATTAATAAAATTTACATATCTTTGAAGAATGTCATCTTAAGTCTTTTACAATTATCTTTCGTTGATTTGATGGATATTCTTTATCAGATTCTGATACTTCAGGTGAATGGTATACATTATTATTCATTATCAGATGAAGTTCTCGCTCTTTAAAAATGTGAACTAATGGATCATCAATAGCCATCAGATGCTCTATCACATTTGCTCTATTGTTTCATTTCTGTAATTATAAAATACAATAAGATTAATGAAGAATAAAAAATCAAATAGAAACAGTTTACTCACATTGGCTTATCGACTATTTAGGTGTTTTCTTTTAGTTTGTTAAATTTGTATTGTGGCTGATTGCTGTTTTTTTAAATGTTCCTCATGTTGATGCTTATGTCTAATATGTAACATATCATATACAATATTTTCTGAAAAAGGAAACATTTCTATATTCAGAGTTTGCATAATAGCCAGCACAATTGTGTTATTTACTAATTGTCATTGTGATTCAAATGTATGATTTAAGTTCAAGCGGCTAGAAGTTGACATTCTATTAATTATCCAAAATACTTGTCGCTATAAATAAAGATAAAGATATATTCATAATTAATATGTATATATATTGAAGTGAAAATGAATAAAATTCTTACCCTTAAGACATCTCGACGATCTTTTGACAAATCTGACATTCAAAAATATTTAGGTTAATCAATACTGGAAGAACTTTCCGAACTTGAAATAGATTTGGTTTCATCATCAGAAATAACTGATCGTGATTATGAATCATCGAAAGTAGTTGATCGTGATGGTGATTTTTCATCATTACTGTCATTATTATCATCTCCATCATTATTACTTGATTGATCTTGATATGTTGATTTTTTACTTTGTAACATATGTTGTAGTATTTCCTGGATGTTCTTGTCTTTCAGAAGTGTTTTAACTATTTATGTAAATTGTTTAATAATATAGTTGATGCATATATTGATATTAAA